TACAGCAATACAGATAAAATAAAATTATACAGAACTTGTATTTAAAAAAAATAATCATAATTATAAAGTGGCAATACAAAATGAAAAAATCCCAACGGTATTCATTATACAAGTAGAATAGAAAGAAAAAGATGTTAACCTAACAAAGAAAAAAACAAGATGCAAAAATAAAGTCAAAGCTAGAATTAGAATAGAGCAAGAGATTTTAAAACAAAGAGAAGCTTAACAAAAGCAGCAGCATAACAAGACAAATCTGAAGACATTAGTCCAAAAATTCAAAAAGTTCATCAAAATTGCCACAGCAAACCAGCATAAGAAGAAAGAAAAAAATCTAAAAGACAGCGAAAAAGAGAATAATAAGTCAAAATATTAAAGATTAAATGATATAAATAATATATTAAACAAGCAAAAGAGATTCACAGATCAATAAAAAAAGCTGACAAAAAAAAAAGCTAAGAAAAATATTAAAATAGCATCAATTAAAAATAGATTTCTTTAGAAATAGATGAAGTTATTATATATCTTTACTCAGTGTTAAACTATGACCTGTTATGATCTGTATGATCTATATAACTAGTCATAGATCATACAGTCATAATAAAGATTATATGACTTATGACCAAAAATATTAATTAACCAATAAAATAGCAGTAACAATAAGTTCGTTTTAGTTAAGTAAAATAACAATAAAATATAGTTAGCAAAAATATACTATACTTATAACTTTAAGTTTATAATTGGCAATCTAGATTTTTAAAAAGAACTCAAGTATATTTAACTAAAAAAGATCTTGTGACTTTCATCCAGATATACTTGCACCTGGATATAATATGTATATACATGTACTGTGAAAGGCAAAAATTGCTTTAAAATAAGTTTTGGTCAGAATAGAAATGTCTTACTATAATACTACACTAAAACTATACAAACTAAACTATTTTAACTGAATTCTAATAGTGGTAAGCCTCAATTGAGGTGTTGGTCCAAGCAACTGGATCAATTAGAGCTCTAAATTATGTCACAGGTCTTTTAATATAAAGTCATGAGATTTAGTTAGATTTTTTACTTATTGGGATTAGTAGAGTGAAATGCTTTAAATATTGAACTTTAGCTAAGTTATTGTATTGAAGACAAAAGGTAGTATTTTTATACTTTCACACTATCACTATTAGTTTGTACACAATAAATAAGATCTACTCGAAAGATATTTTATACGGCTATTTGCAACAATAAAATTACTAATTTAATATTTATTTATACATAAATAAATAAATCAAATTGATATTGACAATAATAAAACAAATTCAAATAGTCCTTTTATAATATAAGACCTTTGATCAATTATTATATTGACAATAATAAAACCAAATACAAATAGATCTTTTAATATCAGAAAACCTTTGATTAATCACTTGAAACTCACAATCAAAAAGAATATAAATTGAGCTTTAAGATATATATAACTAAAATAAACCGGGCTTATAGCACAAATGTATACTAAACAAAATACAATATGATAAAATTCAAATAGTTCATAATACATAAAAAAAGCAATTTATGATGTTTGATATTCTATAATATTAATAAATGTTCAACTTATGCATTTAAATTTAGTATTTAATATAAGTTTAATAATTTTTAACAACTTATGCGGTTTTCTAATATATAAATAATATATTAGTTAATATTTAGTGTAAATTAAAAAATAACATAATATTACTATATACATATTATTACTCTTACATTTACTTATTTTGCATCAGTAAAAATAAAATCTGAACCTAAAAATAATAGTGCTTTTAAGGAAGAGATAAATAATGTTTTCAGATCACATTTAGCTAATATATCATCAGCAGGATGTTTGTTTCGATCTTCTGTTTCAAAATCGCAGTCCCATTCTGATGATATAAAAATCTGATCATTTTGATGTTCAAATTAATTTTTTTGGAATTCTAAATTTATCTATTTTTGGATTAACTGATCCCATTTTTGCTTCTCTTCTCCGGTAATTATATCTTCATTATTATTCGCAGAATTTTCTTCTTCATCATCGCTAACTTGATAACATGTTTCTTTATCATTTAATTCAGGTTCTATAATTTCATTTTCAGAAATAATTGGTATAGCTATATGAAGGTATTG